GACGGGAGGGGACACACACACACACACACACACACACACACACACACGTAAGCACTTAGGGCATTGCACCCATCGACTTCCTAATATCATAGCTATTGAGCCCTTGGGGCTTTGGCACACTGTAGTCCTCTCAGACTTTAGAGGCTTGTGACCTTGTGACCTTGAGGTTTCTCCTTCTCTTGTCAACTTGCCTTGTGACTCATTCAGATTCCCATTGTCAGTCGTGTTTGGTTGCCTCAGTTTCACGTACCCGTCCCTGCAACCGTCAGACGACGCTAAGGTTAGGATTACTGGCTCAGGAGCCTTATCTCCTAGGACTACCCTCTGAGCGGGGACTGTGGGCAGGGCAGGCCCTAGGAAGATCTCTTCCAGGGTCTAGTTTAATATCATGGATCAAGAGGCCTGTTCTGTAGGTGGAGGTGATACGTAAACTGTACTTCCCTTTCTGGATTACAGGGTATGCCTGTGTTGGTTGTTACAAGTTTGCAGGCTCTTGAAGAATAGAGTTTGGATGGAGGTCCGGCCAGAACTGTGGCTGATTCCATAGCACCAAATAAGTACCTAGTGTATACCCTAAGGATGCACTGTAAATGCTTAATGGGCCTGACCATCTCTCTGGGAGCACTTAACTGCTAACTATTGACAAGAGCAAATAATAGGACACTGTGACTGTGGAATCCTGATGAGATAACAGGGCTCTTTTGGCTTGTAGAGGCAACAGGCTTAGGTTTTACAACACAGACCGTGTTCTTCACTGCCCTATAGGTAATACATGTTTTATGGGGTAGGGCAGTAGCTTAAATCCTGTATCATCAGTGTGTAGGACAGAGACAATATAAATAAGAAAACCCTGTGTGGTCAGTGAGCACATTCAAACCACCCATTGATGTCTTTAGGTCTATTCTTACTTAATTGGCAATAATCTTCAGATATTTTCCAAATATAAAACGTTACAGGGCAGGCATTATTTAGCATTTTGAGAACGACCGTGCCCAGTCAGTGGGGAAAAGGGGATGGTAAACCTGGTGGGACACTGGAGAATATAAAGACGAAAAAGGCTTGTGTAGAGTGTCCCCAGCACGGGGTTCATGGGTTAGACGTTTGGAAGAACAGAGGTGCGTTAAATGAAATATTAAATCTTTGTGGAATAAATGTATACTTATTTCCAATTAATGTAAGGTAAATGAGAACCACAACTCTGCCCAGACTGATGAAAATTCCAAGTGGAACTTTGAAAGGCTTCATTTTCACTTCGGTTATTTAAAAAGTAGAGTCCGCTTTATATGCCCGTGGGTTACAAAGCGCTCAAGATGCCGAGACTTGAGCAAGACCATCAACCATCAACCATCGGCAGATTTTGGAGCCCAAACACCACCTTTCTACTTGGCCCCTCACATTAGGATGTTGTATAAACACACGCTCGCTTACAAAGAAACAATACACTTTGTAGTTTATGCGAGAAGCATTCCTTCAGCCTCCTTGCCAGTTTGGCTGTGTAAACATGTGCGTGTGTACCCTTGCACGTGAATGCTAGGCTGATCGAAGTATATACCGTGTGGCGGAAAGAAAAACAGACACCAGCACACGCATTCAATTAGCCCCGCTTGACGGAGACCCTTCAGAATCTCCCCGGGAGTTGGAGCATTTCTTCTGAGCGTTTCACAGACCCAGGGCTTCTAGAAAAACCAGGCTGGCTGATTGAGGTCCTTTTGAAGTTGGGGATGGACTTGACTGGCGGCGTTTTCTTTCCCAGCGAGTGCTGATAGCGAACGAACCACGCTGCTCGCAGTGTCGCTGTTGCCGCCACGCGAGATGTGCCGGGCGCCTACTAGAAACAGCATCTGGCGGCGGGAACGGTTTTCACAGTGCGCCGGCCGCAGCGTGAGCCCAGCCTTTGTGGCAGCTCCCAGCGGCAGCCCCACGTCGCCAGGGACTGCTTCCCCGGGTCCTGTCTGGGGACCACCGATTCTGTCCCGGGGGCCGCGAGCGGCCGCGCGTGGGGCGCGGGGGGTAGCCCTGTCGGGGCCGCGCACGCGCCAAGGGTCGTCCCCACTCCCCCCCCCCCACCCCCCCTTAGTCCCGTGGCGGCGGGCGGCCTCCTGGCCGCCGCCGGCCCCGCGGCCCCTGCCCTCGGCCGAGCCCCTTTATCCCCGGCCGCCGCCTCGAGGCTCCGGGCGGCCGCCCTCGGCCCAGCCAATCAGACGCGAGCGTTCCCTGCAGGCGCCGGCCAATCCACGGCCCGCGTTTGCTGGAAACGCGAAACCCTTGGGGGAAAAGCAATAACAAAAGCCTTTCACTGCAGACAAATGTTAAGTGTCTGTGCAGACTTTTCCTGTTTTTAATTTTATTACTGCAAGAATGGAGGGTTTGTTGTTTCTTTCATGTTTCCTTTCAAGCAATTTTAATTATACATTTGTGCTACATCAGGGACTCTGGAACGCAGTGCTTCAGCCTATTGCGTCGCAAGCTAAAATGCAGCAACCTTCTGGCAATACAGATATATTCCTGCACTGTAAATATAGCTGACATGCTAAAGAATTTTAAGCAGCTGCAAAGGTCTTTGACACCACACACAGTGCCCCAGAGAGCACATGATGAGAAAACCAGCTCCGTCTTCCCCTTCGCCTTCCCTCCCACCCCCTCCCTTTTCCTGGAGGGATGTGCTCATAAAGAATCCTTTCCTCCAATTGTTCTGTCTTGTGCGAATTTCGACCAAATGCCTAATTACCATTGATTCTCATCTCAATATGAATTTTTATATTCAGTGGTTTAAAAGAAAAATTTCCTGAGGGGATTAGAATGGAATCAACCGAGATTTGAGGAAATGCTTGCTTTGCTTCATTCTCGTCCCCCTCCCACCCCCGACTATTGCTACAGTGAGTAAATTCAGCTGTCACCTAATGGCAACATAGACCATATGGGAAACAATTTTTAAATCTCTTTTAGAGACTTTTGAAAGAAATCCTTCCTTCCCCACTGCTCGGGTCCCAGCCATTCAGATATTTTTCCCTGCTGCTAAAACATTTCCCACGGAAGTTAGTCTTACCTCGCGAGGTGTCTCTTACCAGAAAGGAGTGCAATACAGGGTTTCTATAAAATTCAAAATGGCAGCGAGCAAGTGAGCAAACCAGCTAGAAGTAGACTTTGAGTGATGTCCCTAGGTGTTTGCAAAATAGAAAGGAGGGTAGGTAGGTACAGAAAAGAAGACAAAGGCTCACTTAAGTATTGCGTTGATTGACCCTGGTATTTTATGCGTGTCTCAAAAACCCAGGTCCTTTTAATATACGCTGTAAAGGGGTGATTAAAAAAATATATGGCACTTGTCCTCTAGAGAAATCAAGAGGATGTTCTATTTTATTTTCCTGTGACATTTAGTATACTAAGTGCACTTAAGTTTAGTAATTCACAGATGCCGTGCTAAATTAAATTGTCTGTCTGCAGAGCAGTTGGGAAAAGCAGAATAGCTTGCAGGAAGCAAGTGTGTTGGTTTTGAGATTTTTTTCTTCTAATCCTCTGTGGCAAATGCTTACTAAAGTTGATTCTAAAGATAACCCCAAGAGCAAACCTATTGTGCACATTTATTTTCTTAAGAGGGCTATTTTAGGAGTCCTTAATATGAAACAAGACCAAACAGTGAAACAGATACCATACCCTGGCTGATTCTTGTCTCACAAAGCCAGAGAGGGGAGGATTAGGAAAGAGAAATCATAGCTGATTGTCCGCTATCTGGACTCTCAGCCCCTGCCCTCCCCTTCTCTTGTTTTTGTGCACCCACGTAATCTTTTCCTAAATAAAAATCACCATTATTTTATATTGTTGAATGGGAAACAAAGCCGATTCCTTTCAGTCACCTTCTGGTTTAAGCACTGGTAACTGGCGCTTAGTTTTTGTTGGCTGCTTGCCAAACGAAAGCAATTATGTGTAATAATAGAAAAATTAAGAGGTGAGTGTTGCTGTTTTACAGCAGGACATGGCAAAAACCATTTCCTTCTGTCAGCAGTATCTTGATTACACTCTCACACGCAGTCTTACCCTTTTGTACCGCATGCACACAGGCATGATCTCTCTTTCTCTCGCGCACACACACGCGCGCGCACACACACACACACACACACAATTTCCTGTGGGTTTTCACTTGAGGTCACTGAAACCAGAAAGAGGAAGAATGCAAACCACAGTTTTTGAAAGCGAATGAGAACAGAATTTTGCTGGTAGAATAACAACAACAACAACAACAACAACAGTAATACTAATAATAAACTGGAAACAGAGTAATCCGTGCTAACGGTGGTCCTCCTTCACTCCCCATTCCTGCAGGTGTTCTAGTGGTCAATGTCACGTGGAGGAACAAAACTTACGTAGGGACCCTCCTGGACTGCACCAAGCACGACTGGGCCCCTCCCAGGTACGTACGGACGGGGCCTTTTATTTCAGGCCCTGTTTGCTCTCCTCCTTCCTCTGCTGCCCCTCTCCTTCCGCCATCCTCTCTTTGCACAGAAACTATAGAGGTAGATTAATAATGCATAAAAGTCTGCCCGTAATTGAAACCAGGCGAAAGAGAAAGGAGCCGGTGAGGATTGCACACAGGGAAATGGCACCCCCTGCCCCTTCGCCCCCTCTCCTTTGTTTTCGTCTTTTCTCAAAATGGGAATCTGAACTGGATTTGAAGCTGGCTACCTGAGCCGTTTTCCTTTGGTGTTCCGAAGAAGAACGTAGGCCGTTCGTTGCCAGTTCTTTGGCAGGGATTAAAACCCTCAGCGCAAGGACAGGGTGTCTTTTCCTTCTCTGGGCCCAGCCCTCGCGCCCCTGGGGTGTTGGCCGCCCTTGCCGGCATTGTGTGCCCCGCGCTGGCTCCCGGCTCTTTGGGGGATGCTCCTCTTGACGTCTCTCGCTTGTTTCCCTAGGTTCTGCGAGTCACCGACAAGCGACCTGGAGATGAGAGGGGGCCGGGGCCGAGGGAAGAGAGCGAGGTCTGCCGCGGCGGCTCCGGGCTCAGAGGCCAGCTTCACGGAGTCCAGAGGGCTGCAGAACAAGAACAGAGGGGGGGCCAATGGGAAAGGGAGGCGGGGCAGCCTCAACGCCAGCGGGCGAAGGACACCCCCAAATTGTGCTGCTGAGGACATCAAGGCCAGCCCCTCCTCCACCAACAAGAGGAAAAACAAGCCCCCGATGGAGCTGGACCTGAATTCCAGCTCCGAGGACAATAAGCCGGGGAAGCGCGTCCGCACCAACTCCAGAAGCACTCCGACCACTCCTCAAGGGAAACCAGAGGCGACTTTTTTGGACCAGGGCTGCTCCTCGCCAGTGCTGATCGACTGCCCCCACCCAAACTGCAACAAAAAGTACAAGCACATTAACGGCCTGAGGTACCACCAGGCCCACGCGCACCTAGACCCGGAGAACAAGCTGGAGTTCGAGCCCGACAGCGAGGACAAGATCTCGGACTGCGAGGAGGCGCTGAGTCACGTGGCGCTCGAATGCAGCGAGCCCAGCGCCAGTCTGGCGGCCTACGACCAGGTGAAGGCGCCGGTGTCGCCCGGCCCCGGGCACCCCCCTGGCACCCCCAAGGGGAAGAGAGAGCTGATGAGCAACGGTCCGGGCTCTGTCGTCGGGCCGAAAGCGGGGAAGAGTTCTGGCAAGAAGAAGGGCCTTCACGGCGAGCCGAACAACCTCCCGGTCATCTCCAACATGACGGCCGCCCTAGACGCTTGCTCCGCGGCAGATGGCAGCTTGGCTTCCGAGATGCCCAAACTGGAAGCAGAAGGGCTCATCGACAAGAAGAACGCGGGAGAGAAGGAAAAGGGCAAGAAAGCCAACAACTGCAAAATGGACAAGAACCTCTCCAAGCTGAAAACCGCGCGGCCCATCGCCCCCGCCCCGGCCCCCACCCCGCCGCAGCTCATCGCCATACCCACCGCGGCCTTCACGAGCACCACCACGGGCACCATCCCCGGACTGCCCTCCCTCACGACCACCGTGGTGCAGGCCACACCAAAGAGTCCTCCGTTGAAACCCATCCAGCCAAAGCCCACCATCATGGGGGAGCCCGTCACCGTGAACCCAGCTCTCGTGTCCCTCAAAGACAAAAAGAAGAAGGAGAAGCGGAAGCTTAAGGACAAAGACGGGAAGGAGTCGGGGAGCCCGAAAATGGATGCCAAGCTGGGCAAACTTGAGGACGCCAAGGGGGCCGGCAAAGACTTATCGGGGCATTTTTTAAAGGACCATCTCAACAAGAGTGAAGGGCTGGCCAACGGACTCTCAGAGTCTCAGGAGAGCCGGATGGCCAGCATCAAAGCCGAGGCCGACAAGGTTTACACTTTCACGGACAACGCGCCCAGCCCTTCCATCGGCAGCGCCTCGAGGATGGAGTGCAACCCGCTGGTGAACGGGCAGGCGCCCATGGCCCCGCTGCACGTGCTGACGCAGAACGGGGCCGAGACCGCGGCCAAGACCAGCAGCCCCGCCTATTCGGACATCTCGGACGCCGCCGACGACGGGGGGTCCGACAGCCGGTCGGAGGGCGTGAGGTCCAAGGCCGGTTCCCCGTCGGACATCATTTCCAGTAAGGAGGGCGTCGTCAAAGGGCATCCTGCAGCTACAGCACAGTCCTCTCAGCTGAAAGAGTCCCATTCTCCCTATTACCATGGCTACGATCCTTACTATTCTCCAAGTTACATGCACCCTGGGCAGGTGGGAGCCCCTGCGGCCGGGAACGGCGGGAGCACGCAGGCGATGAAGATCAAGAAGGAGTCCGAGGAGGAGGCCGAGAGGAAAGACAAGGCAGAGCAGCTGGATGCCAAGAAGGCGGACCACAACCCGGCGCCCTTACAGCCTCAGCACCAGTCGGTGATCACGCAGAGACACCCGGCGCTGGCGCAGTCGCTTTACTACGGCCAGTACGCCTACGGGCTCTATATGGACCAGAAGTCCCTGATGGCCACCAGCCCTGCCTACAGACAGCAGTATGAGAAGTACTATGAGGACCAGAGGCTGGCAGAGCAGAAAATGGCCCAGGCTGGCCGAGGAGAGTGCGACAGGAAAAGCGAGCTCCCCTTGAAGGAGCCGGGCAAGGAGGACAGTAAACAGAAAAGCCCGCCGTCTGCCACAATCTCAAAAGCTCCCTCTACCCCAGAGCCTAACAAAACCCATTCTAAACTAGGGCCGCCCGTGCCTAATAAAACTGAGGACACAGGTAAATCACAGCTTCTCCCCGGCCACCAGCAGCAGCTTCAGGCCGACAGCTTCAAAGCTAAGCAGATGGAAAACCACCAGCTTATTAAGGAGGCTGTAGAAATGAAATCTGTCATGGACTCTATGAAGCAGACAGGTGTAGACCCAGCCTCGAGATTTAAACAAGTAAGATTGTGGAGCGTGGCCCCCCCCACAGGGAGACAGCGAGTCTGACCCTTGGACATGTCTGGGCTCGATCTGGTTAGCCTTCTTCCCAGGAAATAAGCCAAGGGTTCCTTAGGGTTGGTCCCTTCCCCTCCTGAAACGTATTCGCAAAGATCCTCTCACGAGCCACTGTGTGCCTCTCCAGTGTGCCTAACTCACCCTTGCCTTGGCTTGTGTATGTAGCCAAAGGAACTTCGCACCTGTGCGCCGCAGACCCGTGTTCCGTGCTGGTCACTCGCTGTGAACCTGACGAGGTCCCTCGCTTTCTTACTGAGCCCAGACCGAGGGAATCCTTCCACCTGGCCGCTGAGATCCTGAGTCTGATCTCTACCGCGTGTGTTCTTTCTCGTGTCCAAATTTCTCCCGGCAGCCTCGAGGAGCGTAAGGCCGGGGCCTTAAGCCCACATTCCCCACTGGGCTCTGTCCTACCACTTGGGGCCCAGATGTCTTTCACACGGTGTCTGAGAGGCCTAGGGGTTAAGAGCCCCAAAGCGGGGCTCCGTGCCGATCGCCTGTGAGGAGAACAGGGGGGTCTGGGTGCGTGGGCCTCCCGCAGCCATCCCGGAAGCCCCTGCTCGGCCAGCCTGAGGCTCCCTGTGCAGACACCTGAAAATCGGCCACCGCGAAATCACACGTGTGCTCGCACTTTCTGTCACCGCGCACACATCCTGACTCACTGCGGTCCCGCGAGAGTTAACGCTGGGGTTTCCCGGCCTCCCGACCCCCCTCTCCACTCCCACGCTTTCACCCCTGGTGAATCAGAGCACCAGAATCCTTTCTTGACGCTCATCTCTGCCCACAGGTTGAGGCTTAGGCCCAAGGTTGAATGAATGTTCTCTCTCAGGACTTAAATACCCAGGGGGTTTTTGTCGTGAATGGGATGGGGGTCGCAGAGGCCTTTTGGGCTCCTCGCTTGCCCCAATTCTGGAGGCCTGAATCAGGCCGTGGCTTCACAGGGCTGCGTCAGAACTTGGGGGGTTATAGATGCCTTTGGTTTCTGAAAGAAAAGCTATGAGGTGTGCTATTAATTTTTGAAATTTTGTTTTGATGAAGATGTCTGCACGTGAGATGTGAGCCCCTATATTAAGCCTCAGCTGCTGTAGTTGAAGAAAATACATTAGGAAACCAAGAGTTTCCTTCCCCCCCCCCCGCCCCGTTCCCCATAAATGATGTTACGTGGTCTATTCGTGACTCAAATTCACTATTAAGTGGCCTGAGCTGAAGTTTTTTAAATATGCATATGTATTTTAACTTGTATGTATTTTTTGAAAGAGGGAGAGACAGAGTGTGAGCAGGGGAGGGCCAGAGAGAGAGAGGGAGACACAGGCTCCAGGCTCTGAGCTGTCAGCCCAGAGCCCCACGCGGCATTCAAACTGATGAACCGTGAGATCATGACCCGAGCTGACCAAAGTCAGACGCTTAACCAACTGAGCCACCCAGGCGCCCCCTGAGCTGACGAATTCTCAAATTCGTTTTGCCTATGTGAGACAATGAAGGGAAGATGAGGGTTAGATTGAATTATGTCTGAGGGTGTTATTTCATGTTGAAAGATCCCACG